GTTTGGGTATCTTTTTTGGTTTGAGGGAGCGCGTTTCACGGGCGCTCGCCTCGGGGGGATTCGGCGGCGCGTTTCGAACCGGGGGGCGGGCCCCCGCCAACGCTCGGCGCCGTCGGTCAAAACCAAGGACCCCCCCGAACCCCCCCCCTCGGCACCGGCGCCGGCGCTGGCGGCCGCCAGCAGCGCCGACGGCGGGGGCGATGACCAGAACCAGCCCAAGGGAGGGGGGGGGGTTCAAACCCCTCCCCCCCCAGCGCGCGGGGGGGGGATCTGAAGCCCCCCCTTCCCCTGGCGCTGGCGCCGGCGCTGGCGGCGGCCGGCAGCGCCGACGCTGGCGCCGACGACGGCGGGGGCGCAGGGGCGATTGCCGCCACTACCACTGCCGCCACCACCACCGCCACCACCGCCTCAACCCACCACCACCACCACCACCAACCCACCACACGACCACCACCACAAGCCCACCACCACTACCACCAACACCACAATCTACCACGCCACCAACACCACCGCCACAACCACCACTACTACCAGCAGCACAACCCACCGCCACCATCACAAACCACCACGCCACCACCACCACCACTACCACCGCCACCACCACCACCAGCACCACCTCCACGAACCACCACCACCACCACAACCCACCACCACCACCACAAATCACCACCACACCATCACACCACCACCAGCCACCACAAACTCCACCACAACTCACCATCACCACACCACAACCACGACAAAAACACACCAAAACAACCACCATCACCAATCTGCCACACCACCAGCACCACCACAACTACCACCATTACCAGCAGCACAATCCACCACCACCACGACAAACCACCACACCACCACCACCACCACCACCACCACCACCCCAACCCACCCACAACCACAAACCACCACCACACCACCACCACCAAACCACCACCACCGCCACCACAAACCACCACCACCACCACCACAAACCACCACAACACCAATGCCAAACCACCACCAACAACAACAACATCACCCATCACCACAACCACCACCACAACAAACCACCACACCACCATCGCCACCACCACCACCACCACCACCGCCAGCACAACCTACCACCGCCACCACCGTCGCCCTCGTCGACGCCCCCCGCCGCCGCCGCCCGCCGCCGCAGGCGCCGGCGCCGGCCCAGAAAGAAATCGTCGCCCCCGCCGCCGCCGCCAGCCAGCGCCCACGCAAGCGCCGGCCCGAGGAGGGGAAGCAGGGGAGGGAGGGCGAGGGTCCGAAACACCCGCCCCCCTCCATCCAAGAGGGGGGGGAGGCCCGGTCCCCCCCCTCAAGCGACCGCAGAAAGCGCGCTTTCTTTGGTTTGATGCCGACTTCTGGATCATTTGTTTTGTTTTTCCTTCTGCTGTATCCGGGCATCAATTGGCAATGCTGTCTGTGTGTTTGGCGCGCCCACCTGCGTCGGAAAAGTCGGAATGGGGGGTGGGCCGCCGTCGCCAAGCCCGATCGAAAGGTCGGGGAAACGATCGTCTTCGACGAACGCAACCCGTTTCTTGCGGCTTGGCGGCATAGGCCCGCGTCCGAGCAAAGCTGGGGGAGCCGCTTCTCAATATAGTTTCGCACGTATATTATGGACCCCGTTGGGCAAAGGTGCTTTTCAATCATGACCTGTCGGTTGGTCCTTGACTTGAATATCGTCAATCAGTTCTTGTCAAAGTCAAGTATAACCTGGCGCGTGCTAGATCGCCTCAGCGCGGTCCGCTGTCGTTGGGCTGTAGGTAAACATGCACGTTCGTATCGGTGCGGGCGAATACTTGCAGGTAAGCTTGTGTTCTGCTTTTGCTGGTATCCATACAAAGTTGGTCCACAAATTGTGCGATCAGGAATGTCATTGTCCTGTCTCGCCACTCGGCGCGTTGCTGCTCGCGTCCGTGCCAATCTAGTAAAAGGTCCGTAATATGCGCACTTACATATCCATAGCGTTGTTGGTGATTTCGCGCGCGATGCAACTGTCTGCGCATAGGAGCCACTGGGCCTCTTGTCGGCGCGATCAAAGTTGATGCCAAAATAGCGTAGACGCATCCTGATATCTCTGAGTGAGGCTCTGGGGAGGGCATCTTGCACTGGGGCCAACTTCCAGAAGTATCCGGGCGGTCTTCTCAAGTTTATTTGCATCCTGAGAGCTTGCACCTCGGTCGGGGGATCACGCGCTCTCTCGCAGCGCGGCCCAGCCCGTTTGCTTGACAACCTAACGTGCCAGTCGGCGCGTGTAGTCTCCGGATACAATCGCCCCAAGGTGTTGCGTTCCCGTCGACGTCGTTGCCTCGTCGCGCGCGACGCGGCCACGCGCGTGTCCTCGACGACGCTGTTCGGCAGAAGCCGCGCGGGCATCTTCCATGACCGAAGCTCAGGAGCGATGTAATTTCGCATTGGTCGTGGAGCGCTTGCCCACTCTATTTTGCTACATCAGACGCGCGCCCGCGCATCCGGCCCCCCCGGGGTAGCAGGCAGGCTTGGCCAGGTGACCCGCCTGTCCCCCGTCAGCGGGGGTCATCTACGCGGGGGGGGGGGGGCCGCGCGTCATTGCTCGAATGCGCCCCCTGCCCCAGCTGGCGCCCTGCTCGGCGGCGCCGTGCGACGACGAGCTAGGGTCTCCGATGTGGGAGACATGTGGCATGTCCCCCGCAGTCGGAATAGCGCCCCAATTCTCCCTGGGCGCGGCCGCCCTTGACGCGTCGGGGCTGTGGGCCAGCCCCTCGCCTCCTCCAGGCGTGAGTGGAGAATATTTGTCACTGGGTCTAGATCCCGCTCGCCAGTTGCTTCTTTCACCTTGTGGCGCACGCCTGCAAGCGGCATCCTGGTCATCTCATAGCGACCCACTGGGCGATCAGATCGGCGCCGGCGGTCCATGGTCGGATTGACTATCACGGTGATCGCGTCGTCCACGACCTGGCCCATGAAGGTGTCCAGCGCGTCGTGGCTGCACTCGCCAGCGTCCTGGCGTGCTTGGGGCGCGTGTCCACGGTCGGCCTCGGCTTCGCGCTGGGATGAGCCCCCTGCACTTACGTGGGCGAACGTCTCAGCTGATGACTCACCCTCTGTTCCCGGAGTGCCCCCCCCCCCCATGATTCGAACACGGGATGGCTGGTGCCACGAGGTGTCTTTTCCAGCATCAGAGCCTGAGCGCCTACTCCTAGCTGTGATTTACACGCGGGTGGGCCCGGGAATGCGACGCGCCCCCTGCCCCCCGCCAGAATGAGGATTGCCCTCTTTGATTGCGTGGGGGCAAGGCCAAGGATAGCAGGCAAATATGTTCCGGATCCCTCTGCAATATTACTGGCGAAATCACCCGCCATTGCGGTCGGCGGCGTGTCGCGACGTCGGCATTCGACGATGTCCGCTTCGGACTGAGCCGAGGAGTGCGGACCCGCCCCCCCCCAAACCCCTCTGGAACGCTGTGCTTGGAAGCGTCAGTCGCTCCCGCAAGTGTTGCACGTTATTTGTTTTCCGCCCTTAACCGTTGGATTGAGCCTGCGCCCCTTGCCTTTTCCTGCGGTGCGCCTGCGACCTTTGCCTCTGCCGCTACCTCCTTGGAATAATTCTTCAAAGAGTCAGTCGGCCGAACGAGCCTGGAACGCGGCACGGCCTTTGCCATGCAACCTGCGGGCGCGCCCGCGACCCTTGCCACGACCCTTTTTCCTCTGCGGGGCAAGACACTACGCGCAGCTCGCCTGAACCTCGTAACTGGTTCCTTCACATGTCGCCTCCATCTTGTTTCTGCGTGATGATATCCTGAGTATAGGTATTGTGTGGCTGCGCCATCGCCGGCGGGTAGGTCTGACCAGTCGAGATGTTCGGCACAGGTAGAGGAGCTCGCGTCGGCGTCCGCCCTCCTCCTCCTCCTCCTCCTCCTCCTCCTCCCTCCTCCGAGGCCTTCTCCCCCTCCTCATCGCCCTCCTCCTCCTCCTCCTCCTCCTCCTCCTCCTCCTCCTCCTCCCCCCCCCTACTTCCGCCTCCTCCTCCTCCACAATTACTCAATATGAATACTAGTCTCCCTCTTCCCCCGATGACGGCTTGGGAGCATTCGACCCCCACCCCCCCGCGTACTGTTTTTTACACACAGGTTTCCCCAGAGGTGGGTTTCCGCTTGCACTTGTTTCCAAAATGCCGCTCTCGCTGAAGCGCCGGCCTCATTTTCGAGCCCCGCTCGTTCCGAATCGCGTTCCCGCTGCAGCGCCGGCATCATTTCCGCCGGCTCGGGCGTGCCGGCGCCCGGGCTGCACGCCCGAGCCGGCGCCCGGGCCGGCGCTCCGGCCGGGTCCGGAGCCGTCTCCGGCCGCCGCCGGAAAATCGAGTTCCGAAAGGCCATCCTAATACACTTTTTTTTGAAAATTCTGAATTTCTGCTTCCGGCGCCCGGGAGGCCTCCCGGGCCGATTCCGACGCCCAAGCCGGCGCCCGAGCCGGCGCCCGCGCCGGACGCCCGAGCCGGCGCCCGGGCCGGGTCTGGAGCCGGCTCCCCCGAGGTTCGCAAACGCTTGAAATCAGGAGCAGGCGTCTGAAACCACTCACACGACCTTGAAAACAATATGAAAAGAAGGTCGAGCGCGTCTGATTCAAGAGAAACCAACCCTTAAAGCTGGCATTCCAGCCTAGGAAAAGAGTTCGTATCCTTATTATTTGGATTTCGTAGAGCGTGTCGTCTGTTTTTTGCCATTTTGAGCTTTGTTGTGGGCGGTGATATATGAAAACCTCCATTCCTCGTTCCTTCTCGTTCCTCCTCCCCTCATCCTCCTCTTCTTCTCATGATATTATATTCTTCTTACGCTCGCCTCCTCATGATGTCCCCCCCTCTTCCTCTTATCCTTATTTCTTCCCTCATCCTCCTCCGCCTCCTCTTCCTCCGTCTCCTCCTCCTCCTGGTCCTCCTCCTCCTCCTCCTTCTCTTCCTCCTTTCCCTTCGCCCTTTTCCCTGCTCTCCCTTTCCCTGGCGGGGGGGCGGCCGCGCGCCGCGCCGTGGTCATCGCCATCTGGTCGACAGCAGCCTCCTTTACCTCCTCCGCCTCCCCCTAGGAAAGCAGCATTAGTTGCGATGCTATGCCATGATGTGCCATGCTATGCTGCGGTATGTTATGCTATGCTATGCTGTGCTGTGCTATGCTATGATATGCTGCGCTATGAAATGCTATGCTATGTTATGCTGTGCTGTGCTGTGCTGTGATATGCTAAGCTATGCTGTGCTGTGCTGTGCTGTGCTATGATATGCTATGCTATGCTATGGAGGAGGATGGAGAAGGAGGCTGACCACGTTGTGTTTCCTCTGGAGGCGACTCAACATTTAAAACGTGTTGACCAACCATTTCTGCAACGTAACGTGACTAACTGTGGAAGGGTGGCATGAAACGGCACAATGCTTTACGTGGCCTTGCAAGTCCTCGTCGCTGTATGTCCATGTGAATCGGTGGTTAATCCATAGCTGCAGCTCGCAAGCGTGCTGAAATAAATGGAATTTCGGAGAAAGCTTCCAAAATCTCAAAGACGCGTTCAATGCTTCTCGAGACAATGTTTTGTAGATGGCCAAAAAATGTGTGCAACAAGTCTCGATCCTCGATTTTGCTGAATCCGACATGAAACGAGGCTCTGCTTTTATGATTCTGTAATACTCCGCAAGCAACTGGGCACACGCCAAACGTCGGTTATCATGCGTCGATCCTGAATTATGCTTAGCAGCAAACTCCGCTAACCACTGGACGAGGTGTCGGTTCGAAGCTGCCTTGCCTTTGAATTTAGGCCAATCGTTAGTTGACCTCAATCGTTCCATCGTGATGGCCCCTCTGATGCGGTACATGCTTGGATGGCTCTTGTACCAAGCGTCCAGATCATTGCGTAAGTTCTCGAGCTGCTTGGCTTGATTTGGCCCCAGTGCACCTGATGCCATTACCTCCAGAATGATATTTCCAATCAGATGCGAGCTCACCCACAAATCTATTGCATGGAGTATGTCACTGACAACTCCCTCTAAGCGAAGCGTGCGAATTCTGAACAGCCCTGGTGGCTGCTTACCCTCGGCCAAAAGTTGTTCCATGTATGTTTGATGAGTCTGAACTGTGAATCTCCATGCGGCATCGGGCCCTGACTGGGTCCATACCACGGGGCCAGAAGGGGATGCCCCGCACAACCAGCACATGTTTGGCTCCTGCGTGGACGTAGGGAACCCTAGAACTTGGTTGTAAAATTCCCAATCGCCGCGAATCTGAACTGCCGCAGCGAGCCAACCGCCGAGCAGCTCTCGTCCTCCGTCTCTTAGAGGCCTGCCGAGCCAATCGCAATTTGGCATTGTTCCATCCGTCAAAGCATGCATTGCCCATGCTAGCCTGTCCCATAGCGCCTCAAGTGTTCCCTTGACGATGTTGCCTTTCTTGATGACTGCGAAGATGAGCCTCGATTTCTTGGTTGCTGCGCTCGGCCTGCAATGAAGGCTGTTGATCGAAATCGTAAATAGCCCATCAGTTTTGTTGATCGGAGCACCATCGCCATGAATACCCAACCCAATCGTATTACCAGGATTTGTGATATAGTCTCTGATGCCACCGAAAAGCTGCGCTTCGTGAATACCTCGCCAAAAATCTCAAATGTCTTCTTTGGGGCCAACGATGTAATCGTAGAATCTATTTCTGTCCTTGTTCAAAAGAACCTCAAGTGTATCAATGAGGCAAATTATTGGGTGCTGCTGCTTGGTGTTTCCTGGGCCAGGGATGTCAATCCAGCGAATCCGCGGGGCCTTGTCAGGCGCCCCGACAACATTGGTCACGGAACGATGTGCGTTAGTCGGACAAAGGCCCGACCCCAAATTGCCGACACCTCGAGCTCCTTGGGCGGACGCTGCCTCGGACAACTCTAGAACGTCCTCGGCGCTAATGCGCCCAGATGACCATTTCTTCGCGACAAGATCGTTGAACGGCCTTGGCTGTTGCGCATCAATATCACTTTGGCTCGCCAATCTCTGAAAAACACCTCTGCCTTGAGCCTCGTCTGGCCTCTGGGCTTCCACTGCCCCAGCTGCCAACCTCTGACGAATGCCCCCCCTGGCCGCTGGACGACGAACTGGGGGCTCCGCCCGAGACCGCCAAGCTGGGTGAACCAGAAGCGCCGCGCGCAACGTCAAGACCCAAACGGTGCTTGACGCCACCTCTGCGCCCCGAGCTCATGAAACTCTCGAACCAAGAAACGCCTACATACAGGCTGGGGTTCTCGATGGGGATGGGCGCATGGAGGACGCTGGCAGAGAGCGATCACGGCCATGGTCACATCAATGGCCCAATCAGGTTTGCCTCAGAGACCCTCAGGGTTCTTACTACATCTTGTAGGTCCCACCCGATAAGGCCCAACCTGATTGGGCCCCACCCACAAGGGCCCCGTCGCATAGAGTCCCATCTGATAAGGTCCCACCCCCATAGGGCCCCAACCCACGGGGTCACACTACTCAGGGTCCCACCCGGCAGGGTCACGCCCGATAGGGTCCCAGCCATAGGCCATGGCATATTGGTAGGCATCATCCTAGACACTCGCTAGGCTTTCTAGGCCAGAAACCAGCGTCAATGCTTTATGAAATTTTGACGACCGATTTGGGGCTGCTCAGAGGCTCTTAAGGTCCTCTAGGGTGGGGCCCCGTTCTCGGATCGCACCTGAAATGCACATACACATGCATACACATGCATACACATACATACATACATACATACATACATACATACATACATACATACATACATACATACATACATACATACATACATACAACCATACATACATACATACATACATACATACATGCATACATACATACATACATACATACATACACATCATACATCATACAGCCACATCATACATACATGCACATCATCATACATCCATACATACATACATACATCCATACATACATACATACATACATACATACACGCATACATACATACACACATACATACACATACACACATGCATACCTACACATGCACACGCGTACATCCCTTCACACATACATACACACATATACGTACTTACATACGCATACACAATATGGATGTTGGTTGTGATATCGTGGCTGGCCTTTCGAGGGCTTCTGGGAGGCAGTTTTGAGCCGTTGAGTCCCTTGGGCCGTCTTGGGGAGGCCTTGGGGGGGGCAAACATAAATGCGGAGTGGGTTTTGAAACAAGGAATAATGTCCAGAACAATGTTTTTTCACAGCCCCGCAGCGTATTTTTTTTCTGCGCGCCCTCCCCGTTCCCCACGCATCCTGAGGCATCTTGGCCGTACTGGGCCGCTCTTGGGGGCATCTTGGGCCGTCTTGGGGAGGTCTTGGGGGGCCCATGGCGTTGTTGTTGGCAGTTTTTTTTATTTTTGTTTTGCCGCGAGGCTGGTGCCGTAGCAACGTGGCGTCGTTGCAAGCTTGGGTGTCCGAGAGCACCCCTCCTCGAGCGTTGCGGACGGCCAGCCTCGCAAGAAAGAAACGCTGGGCTGTGTGGCAGCAGGGCGAATCACTTCACTAGGCTTTGCGGCTCCTCTTCGGGTTGGGGTTCGAGAACTTGGCGTGCCACTCGCTGAGGTGGTTGAACTCCGTGAACAGCGTGTCCATCTTCGTTGAGATGGCGAGCAGCTCCTCGCATGAAATTGGTTCCTTGGCAAGGGCCGCCCTCTCCATGGTCTTGTACATGCTCGACATCTTCGGCAGCAGCTCGCCAATGTCGGAGTTGAGCTCCCCAGCGTACTTCTCCTGCTCGGTGGCTTGGAACATAGCCTTCAACTCCGCAACGATGTCTCCTAGATGGCGCAGCAATTTCCTCGGGTCCTTCGAGATGCTCTTCATCGTCTCGGTCTCATGCACGGAGTTCCCGCCCGCGGCAGCGCTGGTCTCGGTGACAGGCCCCCTCTTGATGGGGACGCCCCTGAAGACGGCCGACGATCTACTCCCACTTGACGGGGGCCCCTCCGCGGCGAAAAACTGCGTGTTCTCGTTGAAGAGGTCGACCGCTGCTTTCTTCAACTCATCGTCGGTCAACTCGGTGTCGCCTTGGATCTCTTTATCTTCGTCTTTCCTATCTGAGCGGCCACCTGAGTCGTTCCAGATCTTGTACTCCGCATTCCACTCGCCCATTGGCCCCGAGTCGGGGTCGGCCCTCAACTCGAGCTTGCCCGAAGATATCTTATCGTTTGTTTTCTTCTCGCCAAAGTGGTTGATCATCGTGTGCTTGCTCATCCAGGTGAACTGATGATGCGACTGAATGCTATGCTGCACCTTCTGGGACTGCTTCATCGTAGCCTTCGTTCTCTTCTCAGCGAGGTGCTGAGCGAACCATGCGCTCATGAACTCCTTGTTGACTTCGTCTGGTGAATGATCGTACTGCTCCTTCTTGTTGTGAGCCTGCAAAAAGTGCACCATGGAGGACCGAGCTCGCTTGCGCTGCTCGGCGTCGGCCAGCAGCTCCATTGCCTTGGCTAACCCCGCTGGCGCCACTAGAGGCGGCGATATTGGTTCCATGGGTGTCTTCGTCAGCTTTTTCTTCTTGGGGGCCATCGCATCCAATCTCTGAGGAGGCTGCAGCCTGGACTTCGGACTCCTAGAAGATATAGGGATTGGGCCAGAACGGCCACGGGCATTGGGAGGGGGAGGAGAAGGAAGAGGGGGGAGGAGGAAGCTCGCCCAACAAATGTTTTCCGCTCGCGTGAAGACGAGCCCACGAGGCCCGAAGGGGGGAAATACTGCACAGAAGAGGGCCCAGTCGGTAGTAACAAATGTGAGAGACGAATCCCTTAAACGCAACATGGATGTGACATTCAGAGGCTGGGATGTCGGAGGGGGGATGAGGACGACGGCGCCGATCCCCAGCGGTGTCTCCCGGCATCCGACGCTCTGCGCCGAGCCCGCGCCGTCGTTCACCAATGCCCTGTGGGCGTCAACGCGACATAGAAATGACAGAGAATAACATATAATGTTGCGCCTATGTTGCAGTATGTAAAACTGTCTATAACATAGTACCGACATATTATGTTA